AAAGTAATATTTTTGACTTCTGTTAAAACGACAAGTCCAATTGCTTTGATATTACATATATAGGTACTACATGTGGATCTCTCTCAGATTTGTTCAATTTGTAATGATATCTTTAATTCTCTAAATTTGGTGAATATTTTTGTCATTTTTGGTAAAAAGTGATATTTTCGACTTCTTGTAAAAAAACCGCAAGTCCAATTGCTTTGATATTACATATATAGGTACTACATGTGGACTTCTTTCAGCTTTGTTAATTTCGTGGTGATATTTTCAATTATCTAATTTTGATGATTATTTTTATCATTGTTGGTGAAAAGTGATATTTTTGACTTCTTGTTGAAAACAGCAAGTCCCATTGCTTTGATACTATACATATTGTTTATTTTCTAATGATATCTTATGTTCTATAATTGGAATGTGCATTGCTAACAGCGGAGCTCTCTCAGTCGACCGGCTGCTTGTTTTTTAGCTCTATTGTCGACTTAGTTGACAGAGTGGAGCTGTTCAAATTACTGATTGTTTTTCAGCATTGACTTTACATTTTTTACTTCTTCTTCTTCCACTTTCTTTGATACTTGGTATATACCGGTATGTACAAATGTTTGTCAACAGGATTACCTGGCAGCCCATTTCACAATTGTCATTTTTGATTATTCTGACATTTTTTAACACTTTCAGTTACATGAATTGTACAGAATGTTCATAACACTGTAGAGAAGATTTTATCTGCCTTAAATTTGTTTTCTAGTTACGACCAAATAAATATATACATGCTACTGACAATCCTTTGGGTAGTTTTGACAGGCTGTAATTAGAAAACTAAAGCATAGCAATCAATTTAAGACTAAAGTATTTGCACATTGTCACAAAACAAGATTGCTTCAGAATAAATGCGTAAATCCTGTAAAACCACCTTTAGATTGAGATATGAAATTGTTCGTCTATTTATCCCTTGATTAGACAAAACATTCCTACAGCATATGCAGTAGTGTATTTGCTGATATCTTAATGTTTATTCATCATGTTGTCTTCCATATTATATTCCTCCTTCACATCATCGTCATTGACTCCCGTGTGCGAAGCACAAAAAGGGAGTCTTTGCAGTTAGTGTGTCTGTCTGTGTGTGTGTGTGTCTGTTCCACTGATATCTCAAGAACCATACATTGATTTTTGATGAAACTTAGTGCATAGATGCTCTGAGCCAATGCGCAGATTTGATTAGGTTTTGGTAAAAATCCATGCATATTAATTACCTAATTTGCATGATAATTAGCTGATTTGTAGCTGTTCCATGATTGTTCCACTGATATCTAAAAAAACACTCATTGGATTTTATGAAACTTGGCACATACCTGCTCTGAACTAATGTGCAGATTTGATTAGTTTTGGGTAAAAATCTGTGCAATATTAATTACCTAATTTGCATATTGATTAATCAATTTTTGTCTTTTCGACTGATATCTCAAGTATTAATCATCACATTTCAATAAAACTTGGTACATAGACATCATAGGACACTGCACAGACCTGATAGTTTTTAGGGTAATATCAGTACATATTAATTACCTAATTTGCCTACTTAATTCATTTTCAGCTTTTGATATTTCAAGTAGTAATCATCACATTTCAATAAAACTTAGTACATAGATGTCATAGGACACTGCACAGACCTGGTAGTTTTTAGGGTAATATCAGTACATATTAATTACCTAATTTGAATAATTAATTAATTTTCAGCTTTTCATATTTCAAGTAGTAATCATCACATTTCAATGAAATTTGGTACATAGATGTCATATGACACTGCACAGACCTGATAGTTTTTAGGGTAATATCAGTACATATTAATTACCTAATTTGCATAATTAATTAATTTTCAGCTCTTGATATTTCAAGTAGTAATCATCACATTTCAATGAAACTTGGTACATAGTTACTTAAGGACTGTGCAGAGACCAGATTAGTTTTGGGGTAAATATTTGTGCATATTAATCACCTTATTAGCATAATTAGTTAATTTTCAGCTTTTCGCCTGATAACTCAAGTACTGATCATCATT